TTCCATTTAAAAAAATTAATGTGACCTTGACCTGACCTTCGCTACGCAACCCAAGGTCAAACTGATGTGATCAGTAAATACATCTTTTTAAACGCCACAACTTTTGTCTGAAACATTTTTTTGTAAAACTTATATTTTTCCTGATATTCGGGCGTCCCGGTACTTTCCGAACACCCTGTATATGTATATATATATATATACAGGGTGTCCCAAATTCTCCTTATCATATTAAGTGGAAATGTAGAACGGATTGAGGTAAACATAAAAGTTCCGTACCGTTTTGCGATATTCGCAATAATAACCGAGAAATTAATTGTAAAAGATTAAGGAAAAACGCAGGCTGAATGGTTGAGAGTGGAACGCTCGCGGCCTAATTAATACAGCGCATGGATGTCGGCGCGCGATGTGATTGGAAAATCAATACACCATTGCCTATATTTATATCGCTGTACTCCTACGTCTCGCCTCGGCGCGGTAGGATGCCAAGATGTAGGATGAGAGCTATATAAGACGCACGCTGACATCTGCCTGCTATATTACTGGGTCGCAAGCACTCCTCCCTCAATCATTCAGCGTGCGTTTTTCCTTAATCTTTTACAATTAATTTCTCGGTTTACATTATTACGAATATCGCAAAACGGTATAGAACTTTTATATTCATCTCAACCCGTTCTACATTCCCACTTAATGTGATAGGAGAGTTTGGGACACCCTGTATATAGGGTGAGGAAAAAATATTGAGACCCCGAAATATTTCGAAAAATATAAGTTTTATAGAAAATATAGTAAATGTTAATAAGTGCTACTCCACCAAAAACCGTCGCTTTTTTTGTAGTATTTGAATTAGCTTTAAAAACACATGTATAGCAGTTTTTATGGAGGATTTACGATTTTTATGCGAATAAATATAATTATTAAGTTTACAGTCCTCACCTCCGATTTCGATGAAATTAGGCTTAATCGACGCGGTTTTTTAAAAGAAACATTCGCAAAACAACATTCTAAAAAAAAAAAAGGAAAATATCAATCTTGTACGACGTGTTTGCTTGTAATTCACACGCAACACCTTGCGTCAGGGGTCTGGTTACTAATCTTTTCAGTATCTGTTTTAGTACATTGTAGACTCATATGTTTAATAAGGCGAAGATTTAAGAGAACATTGAAATTGGCGAGACTCGAATGCACATTAGAGTGCTTTATTAAATCTTCGTCTTACTAAACATACGAGTCTACAATATACTAAAACAGTATACTGAAACAGTACAGTACAATACACTGAAAAGATTAGCAAATAGGTCCCTGACACAAGGTATTGCGTGTGAATTACACGTAAATACATCGTACAAGATTAATATTTTTCTTTTCTTTATTAGAAAAGAGGTAATGTTTGCGAATCACATGCAAAATGTTCCAAAACATATTTAAAATCTAAAAGATCTATTCTGTGAAAATTACAAGTTCGCAAGAATATCCTTTATGTTTATAAACATTAACGATTCTATATATAAGCAATGCTATGTTTATTCCTCACTTCGTTGATTTTTGACGATGGAAGTGAGTGATAACTGCACAAAGTGTCCCGTTACTCTGCGACAAACATTAGATATCTTCTCATATAACAGCCATTGATTTTTTACAATGCCACGGTGCTATACCTATTGAAGTTGTGTACAGTACTTGCAACGACAGTGCAATATTACATGAAAATTTAATATAGAGATGCCAAAGACGAAACAAAGTAAAACGTGGAAAGAAATACTTAGAAATATTTATTCACGTTGTAACTTCGGTAATTATCGACTTTAGGGGAGACAGCTCCAATGACCTTGACCTTGACATATATTGTAAAGGTCACCCTCCTGAATGACAAGCAAAAGGTTTTAGCCGTCGCTCGTTGTTCGTTAAAAAGTTATTAATAAAGGAAGTTGCATAAAATGAGTATAATTTTTGGACACTGTATATACAAAAACGATACTGTGTACCGTTAACGAGCAATATCGAATAATAACTGCAATATCGAACGACTAGCGGGGGGCTGCGCCCCCCGCACCCCCCTCAAAACTAACCTAACCCAACCTATCGTCACATTAACACAAAAGTTGAACACTAATAAACAATGACTGACAGTTGACAGTGACGATATATGATAGTGACGAGCCCCCGCTCGTCGTTCGATATTTTTCTCGTGTTACAAATGTTAAAAATATTCTTAATTTAAATATTTTTTTAGTAAGTACTGCAATATCAAACGACTAGCGGGGGCTGCACCCCCCGCCCCCCCCTTAAAACTAACCTAACCCAACCTATCGTCACATTAACCGTCAGTCATTATTTATTAAAGTGTTCAACTTTTGTGTTAATGTGACGATAGGTTGGGTTAGGTTAGTTTTGAGGGGTGGCGGGGGGCGCAGCCCCCCGCTAGTCGTTCGATATTGCAGTTATTATTCGATATTGCTCGTTAACGGTACACAGTATTGTTATTGTATATGTTAGTGTCCAAAAATTACAATCATTTTAGACAACTTGTTTTGTTAATAACTTTTTAATAAACAATGAGCGACGGCTAAAACCTTTTGCATGTTACTTAGGAACATATTTTTAATAAAATATGTCAAGGTCAAGGTCACTAGAGATGTCTCCCCTAAAGTCGATAATTATCGTAACTTCTTCCACTCGTGGCGTAAGGGAACGTAGTTTAGTAATGCACATTTGTCTCTGACTATATGTTGTCAATTTATTGTGCAATATTTACTGCTATCTCCACCACATGAAATGTTTCTGGAGAACGAATTCGGCATAGGACGACCAACGATTGTGGACTGGACAAATTTTATAAGAGAGACATTGATCTCTCTAAGTGGTCTCTGACTGGTCAGAAAAAAATACATCAGCGATAATAGGTGGACCAAATATTATCATAGAAATAGACCAAGCAAAATTTGGTAAACGAAAATATAATCAAGGACGGATAATTGACGGTACATGGTGTTTTGGTGGTTTTGAACGGAATAGTAGAAAATTCTTCGTTGAATCCATAAAACGTCGAGGTATTAATATATTTGAAGAAATAATAAAACGTCATGTAAAACCAGGATCAATTATTACAATTGTTGAAAAGCTTACAATAATCTAAGTAATTTAGGTAGAACAATTCGTATTTATGCGATCTTGCAATTCAATATACATATAACTTATAATATCATCTGTACACCATATATTAAAATCGAAATAATCCAAATAGTGTTAACTTTTTTAAATTACGATTTCTCTCTAATTCACTACAGGTTATCGTCATTTGACAGTAAATCATAGTCAAAATTTCATAGATCCAAGTACAGGCGCTCATACACAAAATATTGAACGATCTTGGCGTGATATACGCGATCCATTACCAAAGTATGGTCGAAAAGAGGAACATATGACCGGATATATAGCTGAATTTATATTCCGACGTACTTTTGCTGATCATTGTGAACATGTCCATGAATTTTTTTCATTATCGTCAACGTTCCATTCCGACCTTATGTCTAATACAAATAACGATTAGAGATGACAAAGAAAAAGTTGTTTTTGTTTTTTTTATAAATTCCTAATAAAGCTGTGTGTTACCTGTTTTTAGTTTTCTTGGAGCGTCCCGTTTGCTCATGTCCCGGTTACTCACGTCCACTCACAGCGACTTGTGATTAGCTAATTTGGATTAGTCAGGTTATGTTAGGTTGGGTTAGGATAGAATTTAAACTTCTACCTTTTTATTTGCATGAAAATTGGCAAACCAATCAAATAGAATTAAATATAGAATAAATATACATTACACTTTAAGCGAAAAACAGTAGTCGATGCAGAACTAACATTTTCCGATTTTTTCGTATAAAAATCGTAAACCTCTCCATAAAAATTGCTATATATGTCTTTTTGAAGCTAATTTTGTCAAATACTATAAAAAATGGCGGTTTTTAGTGGAGTAAAACTTCTTAACATTTACCTAAGTTTTATAGAAAACTGTTTCAGATGAAGGTTGTACAGTTTGAAAAGATCTATTTATTGATCTTATCAATTTAATCTTGGGTAGCGGCGCCAAGATCAGGAGAAGGCATTTTGAATTTTTTTCAGTAAAATCTCCTATTTTTTATTACATAATCTTATAACCATTTTTCAGATCTTTTTAAAGCACTATAATTTTATACACTTTAAGTAAGTCGTTTCGTAGTTATTGATTTTTTATGATAAGATGTTTAGTCCAAGAAAGCAAAATCGGAGAATGATTCAGCCAACAAATGCAAGATCAGAAGATGATCCAGCAAATGAAGACAAGGTGTTCAGTAAAATAATTGTCTAGCATGATTTGATCTACTATGCATATCTGCACGAACCTACTGTTTATTCTCTAGGCGTATGAATC